GTTTTGGATGAAACGTACGAAAAGGTGGTGGTGGTGGTGGTGTGTGTGTCTTATCTAATCGCGAGGCAGCTCAAGTTGCAACTAGCGCGCCCAAGATTAACGCGATGTACGGCGGACAATGCATCTTATAATCATTTTTTCCTCTTGCACCGAACAGCGCTTCGTAAAATACGTTCGGATAAAAATTCAATCGCCGGTGTCGCACGAGTGAAAAACATAAATTAGTAAGCTACAGCTGCGCTGTCACGTTATAATTTCGTGCTTAAATACGAGGGAAAAAATTAGCACTTTGATACAAATGAATTTATTGCGAATTTATGTCACGTACATTTTTCGCTTTCAACGAGTGCAATATAGCTTCTGCATCGCGTAAGAATAATTAGAATTTAATTGTCAGTTTTAAATGTGCTGTCCTTATCCCTTTGAGACGAGTAGAATATTATGGGAAAAGTGTTTCATCAAGTTGATGGAAAATTAAATGTTTCGTGTCTACGTAAACATCTCTTTAGTTCAAGATAAAATTTTAAAACTCGCTCGGTTTTATAAAATTTGCGAAAAGATCGGGATTTCACGCCTGGTAAGATCTTAAACGCACGCACAATGATCCGGCCTCGATTCTTATCGAGTACAAATACTGCTGCATCGAGATCTAACTTTTTGCTCGATTATCTGCGCATACGTGAAAGACGAAATAAAAATCGTGTAAAATTATAGGAATTTACGATCGAAGATAAGAACCGATCGGTCATAATAGGAGTATGCGACGCGATAGATAGTATTATCAATCGTGATATAACAGTTCACGATAGTTTGCTCCCAGCCCGGGGCATCATTTTCCGCGTCTCGGATAAGCTGACGTCAATCGACGTCCGCCATTATGCAGCCACGCGGCACGCTTCTCGCGCGAGCGTGGCAGAATTTATTTGCAAATTAGTGCGGATTGCGTTCGAAGGTGAAATTAGCTGAACCTCACAACCTCCCCCTCCCCGCCGCCGTCGTCCTCCCGCAACGTAGCAGTCGGTTTTGTAAAACGCTTGTAATTTGTTTCAGAAGACGTGGGCTACAGAAGTGTCGAGATCACGTCCGCTTTCACGCATCTGCCGCAGAAGGGTGAGCATCCCCGCTATTTGTATCCGTAAAATCGTCCTCTCTTTCCGACACAAGCTATTAATTATTTATACATATTTAAATGCAGTGCAGTCTCTACAATTCAAGCTGACAAACGCCGGGTTTCCGAAGATCCCGGATCCCGTGTGTGTATGTATGCGCGACACGAGATCATAATTTATATTGTATTTAAAAAAAATATTCCGATATTTTTTTTTATTTTTATTCCATACAGAATTTATGATTTTTACCGTGCGAGCCAAAAATAGATGCAACTTATTGAAATGCACAACGTGCATGCGCGGTGCCCTGGCGCATCCAGCGCATCCGTCCTTGATTTACAATTTACGACAATTACTTTTTCTCTAATTGGAATGGAATCTGAAATTCGGATAGCGCGAATTCGCAATTTGTTGTGACTTGAATTACGGAAATTGCACTACGTTTGAAGCAAACGCGGACACTGGGGAAATACGGTCTAGGTCGACAAGTACATATCATTCCGATCGCCGCTCGTTAATTCTGTCACCAATGAATTTGTTCCATTACCAATTCCATTAATAATTCATACGTTTCGGAAACGCCATATTAAAATTCAGAGCGGACCGTCCGTACGTAAGTTTAATTCGCTCCCGGGCGTATCTGCAATTCCGAATTTATGGCCGTTGGAAAAGACACTTGCGACGCGGCCGCGGACGAGAAAAAGAAGAAATGGCGGGAAGAGATTTTGGGAACACAAATGTTATTTTCAAGTCGTAATAACTGGTATAACTGGTATAACCGGTACAACCCATAATCGATGTGGAAGGTGGAGAGCGGCGGAATGTTACTGTCAAACTGTTTGCGCATCTATAAATTTCGAGTGTGCCGAACCAACACTCGACCTTGCCATTCGAGCAACGTCATTATTTCCGCGAACACAATGACCAATTTTTCTTTATCTTCTATTTGCTAACTGAAACTTCGCAATAATTTACATCTCCTTCTTTTGCACGCGTGTAAATGTCCAAGTTATTTATAATTGCTGTCTCATAATATATTTTATAAATATATACATTACATGCAAAAAAGGAATATATGTATACACGTGTAGACAAAGTATAAATTATTGGCCGTTACAAGCTACTTTCTCAATAAATCGCGTACTGTCCGTTTTTCTGCGGATATCCAGAGAAACGCAAAAAGTTGTTCCGTTTCTTTAGTTAATTCTTATCCATTTTATCAACTCTAGTGTCGTCAGTTGTATTATTAGTTCCACTTTATATTGTTCTACAGTTAAGAAATGCGCGCGGGAGTTTACATGTAAATTAAATAACGCGTAATACAAGATAATACAATATGAGATAAAGAATTTTGTGAATAACAAACAACTCGCAGATACAATGTAGCATAATCACGAGTGCACTCGAAGAGCCACGTATCTCGTTGTGTAATTGAAAGCAAAAACTCGGGGAAAATATTTAAATCAACGCGCGATTTTTTTTCTCTCGACAATCACTAACGATTATCTGTGCATCTAATTGTAAGTTTGTCGAGGCCGTCGCACTCGTTTTGCATTCTGTCTCAGCTGTAACTTTTTCAAATATTTCACGCTTAATGTATCCGCAGTTATAAACATGAATTCGATAATTTGGCGCATTGCAATCGACTTCCGTTTTACAGACGTTGCTCTTGGTCGTTCTTGAACGGACAAAACGCAAGAGCATATTTTCCGCTGTCTCCTCATTAAGAGCGCATTTGATCTTTGACTTGTAAAGTTGGACATGTACGTAGACATGGTGCGATATTAACAAACACAGCATTATTTGATGCGTAGCCGATTCGTCAGCGACGAACATTGATCGTACGTAGAATATTTTACCGGAGATTTTATTAGGATGGAAGCACCTCGACTGTATTATCTTAAAATACCTTTCGTGACTATTGATCTTGATTTTATAATACTATTTACATGCTTCTGCCAGGCAGAATCGAACTGTGAATAAAAAAGGAATCTCGTTAAAAATGAATATCTATTTCAATTATATTGGCTTGCGAAGTTCTCTTCAATCTTCATCTTTATAATTAGTTTCGTCATATTATTGTTGAAAAACGCGACAGCGTTAGTCAGATTGGTCCGTCACGGCGCAAGAGGTTTCGATGGGAGAGTCAAAAATGGCGTTTTGAACAATAAACGGTATTTTGAATGGCAAATTCATGTTAATTTGCAGAAGATCTGTATCTTTCACACAAAAGTTTTATTGAAAAGAATCTCGCAGGGGCCCTCGCGCCGACTCGCTGAAAATTCTTACAGGAAGTAGAAATAGAATCTTGAATGTGATTATCAAGTATTCCATCTATCAATCTTTAACCTTTGGCCCTTAACATTTAGACGTTAACCCGCATTATAAGTACAAAAGATATTATAAAAGCAGAGGGAACGACTTACAATATTTTTGAAGATTAAATATACAGGGTGTTATGTAATACCCGCATCAACGCTTATTGTGGGATAGAGTGGACTAGACCAAGTCGAAAAGTCCTCTATCATTTTGCAATTTTCGCAAAAGTCAGCGAGTTATTAATTATTAAAAATCGCTGTTTTAGGCCGGCCCACTGCCCAATTCAAACGTGCGGCGAGATCGATCGATCGTTACTAGGCGCGCAGAGAGTTGCACATTGGGCAG